CGGCGTTCCAAAGGTGTCAATGGGGCTCGGGGAGGGATGATGTCACCCGTGTCCCCCCCCACCCCAGCCAGCCAGCCAGCCAGCCGGCCCGGCCCCGGGCACGAGGGGCTGCAGGGGGCAGGGCAGGGGCTGGGCTGCGTTGCACCCTCTGGGGTCCCCCTGCAAGGACTTCCAAGCCCCCCCGGGTGCACCCAGTGGAGGATGGCCCTGCAGAGAGAAGGGCACTGGGCAGGGGGCCCAGAGCCCAGCTCAGAAGAAAAAGGATCACAAGCACACAAGCAAGCAGCACCGAAGGGAAATAAATGCCACGTCCCTGCGTGTTCCCCGGACTTGTCCAGGGAACGCGTGGCTCCGAGTCGTGCACGAGACCTGCCGTCCGTCCGCGCGGTCAGACCGTACGCCCGTCTTGCCCCGTCTCCCGTGTCACGGGGCGGCCGAGCAAGGGAGTGACCCGTGTCTGACGGGGGATGTTTGCCCCCAATCCTCTCCATTTAGGGTCCAGGGAGTTCTGATCAGGGGTCCCCGGTTTTCTGCGATTAACAAAAAAAATCCCCAATTTCCAAGTTAAAAAAAAAAAGACCCGCAAATCTACATTTTTCCATGATTAACATGAAACACCACTCATGCATATATATCTATAGATATGTATATCTATATCAATATGCATAGATATATATACACATATATACATATCTATATATATAGTAGCGTTTCACTTTGATCATGGAAAAATGTGGATTTGGGGTGACTTTTTTCAACTCAAAAATTGGGGATTTTTTTTATCAGAGAAAACCAGGATCCCTGGTTCTGACGTAGAGGCTGGGCCGTTCCCTCCCGTGCTCAATAGTGACTGATGCCCCTTTCCTCCAAGCATGTGTCCAGGGCCAGACACAGGCATGGGCAAACCGGGTGGCCACGCAGGACCTGGACAGAAAGGGGGCCCAAAAATGGTAATTTTTTTTCTGTTGTCCGATTATTATTATCATTATCTCTGGTGAAGGGGGGCCCGATACTAAAAGCTTGCCCGGGGCCACCAGGAGTCTCGGTGCGGTGCTGCACGTGTCCAGTCCCTTTGTGCGTCTGGCTGAGTTCTCAGCTTCCCCCACAGCCGGGGGCCACGAGTCCCACCCTTGAATGACGTGCTGGGTGAAAAAGAAACTCCTCTGGTTTGTTTTAAACTGGGACCTATTGGTTTCATGTTGTGACCCCTAGTTCTTGCCTGGTGGGAGAGCGTCAATAATAATAAATCCTTTGCCATTTAGTATTTAGTTCCCCCCAAGCATCTCTTTTCTAGCTGACCAGGCCTAGCCACATTAGTCTCTCTTCACATGGAAGCCCCTCCGTACTACTTATCCTCCTGGTTGCCCTTCTCCAGACCTTTCCTAGTTCTCCTATATCCTTTCTGAGGTGCGGGGATGAGCACTGGGGACAGTACTCAAGGAGTGGATGCACCATGGATTTATAAAGGGGCACGATGCTAGTTTCCATTGTGTTGATGAAGCGACGCACTAGATCTGTACTGATGGTGTTGGGGGTGCAGAGTTGCAGTGATGGGGCTGTAATTGCTGACTGATCAGCATCCCAAAGTCTTGGGTTTGAATAAACGCCACTGCCCTGCACTGTACAAGGGGCTGAGGTGGGTGAAAGGCATGCTCTGCATTGAAGCCAAACGCTCCATATTGATGGCTACGGCTGGCTCTGCTGTATTCTCCTTCCCTGTGGTCTGTTTGCCCCCGTGGTAATTCTTTGTTTTTGAATATCAGAAGAATGTTATTATTTCAAAAGGAGCCAAAACAAAAGCGTTTGCCTGGTTTGGCAGGCGTGCAGACAGCATCCTAGCGATTGAAACTGTAGATAACTGCAGCATTACTCATCCGCACAATCAGACCTGGCTTTTCCCAGCACTTCAAAGGCTGAAGGGCAGCTTGACAGGATGACACAGAGCAGGGTCTCCTGGTAATGTAATCAAGGACAGATCAAACCCAGAGCTAATGTGTGACTCAGACCCACTGAAGTAGATGGAAAGCCCACTGATTGTAGTGGGCTTCAGATCAGGGCCCTGTAGCATCTCTCAGTTTTATTCATACGATGCAGCTACACTACCAATAGGTGCGATGGCAGATGTAACCAAGCTAGCGCAACCTAGCTGACACTGATTACAGCGTAGCTGCAATAGCACAGAGCTCATTATAGATGGCAAAACCTGCCTGGTCCCCTGAGCAAATCCCAAGGGCTGTGCTGCTTTCTATACCCAAGCCTGGGAGTTTAAAGAGACACGAACCGACATGAGTCGTGGTCACATTTTTGACTGCCGTGTGGCTATAAACACTCAGCTCAAGATTTCAAGTGGTATTTAGGCACCTCATTCTCTCTGAAAAGCAACGGGAGCTAGGAGCCGATCCATGTTTGAGGACCTCGGCCTTTGATGATACAGAGGTATCCTCTCCTAGTGACTCTAGGCCAGTGAAGGCCCCAGTTCCCCGATGGAAGTTACTGGTTTAGTATCCTTCAGAGGTCAGATCCACTATATGCACTGCCCCTGGATGCTCAAAGCTGCCCCTGAAGTCATAGGTGCTCTGGATGTGCAGCAAATGCGGGCTGCATCCACGTGCATAACACTGAGATCACCCTATGGACAAAGAGGTCGCCATGCATCCAGATTTCATTTTTGAATCAGGGCTGATGCACAGACCTGCTGTTGTCCCCTGCCAGTTTGAGGGGCTTCCTTTGTGCTGACAATTTGCTATGCCAGAGTTATAATGAATTATTTACTGTACAGTAACAGCAGCTGCATTTCATTTTCCAACCAGCCAGCAGGTCCCATAGGCAAGATAAACAAGGCATAGATGAGATTAAATAAACTGCTGCAGTTTCAACGTCAAAACAAACAGATAGGATCCTGTTCAGGCAGCTCCGAGATATCACTGAACAGTCAAAGGCGGGGGAGGAAGAGGGAATAGACCCTTTATTGCAATAAAAAATAAGCAAAGCAATTTCACTTGCTGGAGCAGCGAGCAGTCGTGTCTTTTGGACCACTCTGGGCCCAATTCCCCTTTCACAATGTAACTCCATTGAGGAGTTATGAGGTCTTACTTCTGAATAAGAACCTGACTCTGGGAAATATTTGATCACATAATGACTTTAAGTATGTACAAGTCTCCTGTTGATGCTTTCCTGGTTGGACATCTTTCTCTGTGGCGAGAGGGAAGTCCAGCCTTTGGGAATTTCTTCTGGTCTTTCTATCAGTGGAATTATTTTCTGTTGCTGAAACTGGTGTGACGCACAGGATTTGAAGTGGTCTGGCTCATGATATCTTGCATTTCCTTTGAATTGTCAAGGTACATCCAGCCAAGCTCAATGGCATCCCGTGATAAGGATCTTCCATTGTCATAGTAAGGATCACTACATTTGGTCTATGCGGGGGAAGGTCTCTAAAAATTCCCCCCTGTTGCAACATTAGCCACGCTAGAGAGATCCTCTATGGATGCAGCTGCTCATAACACAGCGAGCTACATTTTCTGCTAGTATCTCTCTGCAACAGTCAACAGGGAAGTCAGCATGGCATTTGGCTCCATGTCAGGTCACCCTGCTCGGTCTAATCCACATGACTTTTTGCTGCCAAGAGCTTGTTTACCTATGCACTCCCAATGTTATTCCTCGGGGGTGATCTCTTTAGAGAAAACACTGGATTTGGTCAAAATCCGTAGGTCTGACTTATTTTTCAGTGAAATCAACAGCTATAGGATTGAGCCCGATTTCCAGGTTTACAAAACAATGAGCTTCCCATTGGAGACATTTACAGAAGTGAGATCTCCCTCTGGCAATAAGAAAAGTTTTGCCAAGCATTCAAATACCAGAGAAGATCATTTAGCTTATTATTGCCTCTAATTAGTGCTCCTGAACTTGGCAACATTCTTGACCTGCTGCTGGGGGGTGCTCAGACAGGTGTGAAATCCATTCTTCCCCTGAGAGCACCAAAGGAACTGGCTCTACTCCCATCCCTCAAATATCCCCTTGATCAACATGGAGAGAGGAAATGCATTAGCACCAGTGCAAAAAGGGGTTTGGAAAGAAATGTATCACCTATCAAGCCTAATGATTACAACAAGGGTCATGATTGCTACAATGGCATTTCCCGCTACCAAATTCCATTGTAGCAGTCCCAGTCTGTGATGAATCAGCCTTGCAAAAGTCTGCTAATCCACTCACCGGAAGCGGCTAATCTTTAGTTATTTTTGGATAGACAAGCAAAAGATTGCTAGTTTTTTTAAGTATCATCTTGGTTAGAGCTTTGGCAAGTAGATTTTATGCCATGGTGGCTAATTTTGTGTACAATATTTTTGCATACCAGATTAGCTTGATGTAGAATATCAATTTTGCACTGATGGTATATGGGTTTCTGCCTTACTTATATGTAATTAGTAGCCTGAAGTAATATGCTATACACATTGTAAATAAGGACAGCAGGATCTAGCTCAGATTTAGACATGGATACAGAGATAGGCAAAGCTGTTGAAGTCAAAGCTGATTCAGGGCTGGAATGGCTGGAAGATGTATTCATCTCCACGGGCAATCATCCATATGGAAAGTCTGAGAGGTAGAGGCCCATGGAGAAGTAAAAAGAGCTAAGAAAAATGCGCTTAACATTCACCTTTTTCTTTCTTTTTCTGTATGCTCCATTCATGGTGGCAAGATTGTCTAGTGATTGCTACCCAGGGTTGAGATCAGGATTCTTGGGTTCTGCTTCTTGCTCTGTAGGATCTTGAGGCAATCACAAAAATTTGCCACCTCTCAATTCCACATGTGTTGAAAAGGACACGTCATACTGTATCGCATTGTGTCTTACCGCTCTCATTTGGGGATCATCCAGCCAAGGCATCTCAGATTAAGGTGACATCAAGTCAAAGGAGTCTTAGGGCACTAGGCCAGTTTGCAAAACTACTGGGCGCTGCAGCAGATGCACAATCTGTGACTTCTGCACTGCCACACCTGGAGTGTGTAGTAGGGTTGGAGTGATGGTATAGCTGTAAGGCTCCAGGAAATACAGCACAAGCAAAGCTTGTTTTGGTGCTAGCTTTTATTGGACCAACTGTATGGTTGGGAGAAATGTTAGATAAGCTTTGGGCACAAGGTGCCCTCCCAGGTCTGGGAAAGTGTCCTGAAGAAAGGCGCTTTGTGCCTGAATGCTTGTCAAATATCCCTCCCAACTATACAATTGGTCCAATAAAAGCTAGCACTACTGCAGCATGCCTTCCTTGTGGCTTGGCATCGTGTGTCACTGCTCAGAGACTCACCGCCCTCTTTGTTCCTTGCACATCTGCAGCCAGCAATTCCCAGCAGTCAGTTGAGCTCCTGCTTGGAAACAAGGTGGACTGCCAATAAATCTGCGACATGCACTGGGAGTAAATAACACTTCCCTCTATATGAAACACGCACATGCACTTATTATATTTGCATAGCCAAATGATTGTTTCTGTATAGATAAGGAGAAAGTAAATTGTTAACTTATATAGGCAGCATGCTAAAAGGTGGACTAAAATAAGCCACCTTCATATATACGGTACTTGTATATCAAGGTGATAAATTACCTTAAAATTGCCTAAGATAGATTGCGGGGGGAAGAATTATAGGTTTTAAACATATAAGACTTAGGCCATTATAGAGTTAAAGTATAAATGGTGTCCTCCATTCCTGTCATTCTCCTTCGGCTTTTCAGTCAATACAGCATGCAAGACCCCCCACCAGTATAAAGCCCCAAATTGCAGTTGATAAGAACCGCAGACAAGTGGTTGAGATAAGGATGGAGTGGTAGCTATTACCCTACATTCCCATGCTTTTGTGAGCTTGAAGTAGATCTTAGGGGTTTTGTTCTCCTCTCACATGCATGCAAATAGCTTCCTTTAATACCAAGTTAATGGGAGTTATGCATGCACATCAACAGAAATGAGTTACCCACCCACGCTGCCAGACGGGGAATATAATCCTTCCAGCTTTTCTGTTATATCCGCTTGTTTGGTCCATCTCATCAGGTGTCCCCCTGGAGCAGATCAAATGGGCTATACCACTTATCCAGTGTGACATGTAATGTCCTGTAAACATATCAGGGAGTGTAATTAAAAGGTTGTGCCACTGGTTTCAGAAGCCTGTCATGGAACAATGGTTTCCTGGCGCTAGATAGATGCAGAAACATTTATCAAAAATAAACATCGAGCAGAGCCGGGGCATTTATTTTCAAAGCAGGAAGCATTTGCTTTTCACGGCAATGACTTTGCATCCATTCCAGCCAGTGATGGATGTTCATGGAATCATTTTGTCTGCTAGCTGCTGAGGATGACAGCAGTTTGCTCCGCAAGGGCTCAGCGGATGCACACACACACACTCTCCGCCAACATGACATTGTCAATAGGACGGGTGATTTTCCACCACAACAGTTACACCAGGACAACACACAAGGTGGGTGCATTTGCAATGGTAGAAGGGCATGCCCTAACCAATTATTTCTTTTTCCGTGTGGGAATAAACTGTATTGTTATAAACCCTTGTATCCCAGTGAAAAAAAAATGTTGCTGTGCCAGGAGAGTTGTTCCGTGGTAATTCCACCTGTAAAATGAAGACTTTGGGTTTCTTCTAGCTTCTTCCTCAGACCAGAGGGATTTCTTCATAGACATTTGGCTAGCAATAGTGAAGAGAGGCTTCTCAGAGCAGACCCTGAAATACCAACCATCTGAGTTCCTGATGCCAAGGTCATTCAGACTAGCGGTCACAGCCCGATTTCCAAAAACCTGGCTCCTCCGTCAGTCAATGTGGCCTCTCATATTGGCGGGTTCAAATGAGGACACACTGGCGCCCAGTTTCCTAATTTATTGAGCCCAATTAGGTAACTTGAAAGCCGCATGATTTCATTAGGGGCTGCATATGACGGCACACTCAGGACTGTGCCTGCTACAGGCTTTGCGGATGATACAAGGGCAGTTGAGTTGAGGCTCTTATAAAATTCTGGCATTACTCCATCTGAGTCTAGCTCTCCATCCTTCCTAGGCTCGTTCGCCTATAAAAGGACTGCGATCGAGCAAGGATAGGCATTTTGGTCCCTCAGCGAACAAGTGAAAAAAGAAAAATCCTGGTCCCCCATCATATGCTACAGCCCGTTGTCATTCCAGAGGCCTCTGGGATGTGAGTCACCACAACAGTTGGGCTACAGCCCAATAACAGAGACACAATGCCTTGTGAAGAGCACTCGGGATTCATCATATATGATCAGTTTTAAACCGAATCGTGTTACAGCGA